GCCACCACCCAGCAGCTCCCAGCGTCCCCCAGCAGCTTCCAGTATCACCCTGTATCTCCCAGTATCACCCAGCATCTCCCAGTATCACCCAGCATCTCCCAGCATCGCTCAGCATCACCTAGTACCTCCCAGTGTCACTCAGCATCACCCAGAAGCTCCCAGTATCACCCAGCATCACCCAGTATCTCCCAGTATCACCTAGCATCAGCCAGCAACACCCTGCAGCTCCCAGCATCATCCAGTATCACCCAGAAGCTCCCAGTGCCACCCAGCATCACCCAGCAGCTCCCAGCATCACCCAGTATCACCCAGTATCTCCCAGTATCTCCCAGTATCACCCAGCATCGCTCAGCAGCTTCCAGTATCACCCAGTATCTCCCAGTATCACCCAGTATCTCCTGGTATCACCCAGCATCACCCAGCATCACCCTGCAGCTCCCAGCATCATCCAGTATCACCCTGCAGCTCCCAGTGTCACCCAGCCTCCACCAGCAGCTCCCAGCATCGCCCAGCAGCTCCCAGCAGGGTCCCAAGGCCCCTCTAGACCTCGCTCTGGACATTCCGGCATCCTTAGGGGATGGTTCCAGGCAGGATGCGGAAGCGGTGCCTCCTTCCCGGCTCCCGCAGCGCCGGCGGCTCTCGGAGCAGCCGGACCCATGCAGTGCTGTGCACGCGGTGCCACGGGTCCTGCTCCAGCGAGCAGACCGCGAAAGCCTCCGGCTTTGCCTCTGGAAAAGCTCCTGGAGCTCCCAAATCCATCACAGCACCCATGGCCCTCACAACACCCATCACAGCACCCACGTGCACTCATCGCAGCACCCACCCATGCCCATCACAGCCCCTCTCTGCAGGCTGATGCCCACCGGTCACTGCTGGGCTCCAGTCCCCAGCACCGGGGACACGGGACAGGGCTGGGGAGCCCCCCGTGTCCCCGTCCCTGCGGTCGCAGCCCCCCCGTTCGTAGCTGATGCCGCCGTGCCGGGCGCTGCGGAGGACGGCGCGGCGCGGGAGGAGTATTTTTAGCTTTCTCATTAACTGGGTGCTTTCAAATTAGCCTTCTATTAACCTCAAAGAAAAATGAAAGCACTGGGAAGAAAGCGGGTGGTTTTCTTTGCTTTGCTTTTTTATTTTCCCCTCCCTTTCCCCTTCCAGGGCTCAAGTCTCCCGCAGAATATCAAGGTTCCCTGACGAACGTCACGGTCGCTTGAAGAGCTAATGAGGAGGCCATGTGGCTGATTTAGTGCCCAGGGGCTAATTGGGCTGGGGTGAGTGGGGACGGCCACAGAGGAGCAAAGGGCTTTGTGACACCGGGGGCGAACGCAAAAAAAAACCCTTGGGATGGGGACGAAGCGGGGCAAAGCCACCCGCTTTGCACAGTGTCCCATGTGTCCTGTGCACCCAGGCCATTCCCACCCGCGGGGACCTGGAGCAGCGATGACATCAAAGCGCAGCTGGAAAGAGGGAAGAGGCATCCGGGGGCGGATGGGAGCCGGGGGGAGCGGAGGCCGCGCGGCCGCCCGGGCTGCAAATTGGAAGCTCTTCCTGGAGGAGTCCGCGCACGACCTGCCAAAGCGATTGATTTCATCTGCGGGCACAGAGGCCTTATTTTTTATTTATTTTTTCTTTATTTCACACCAATTTTCACGTCCGGAGCTGGAGCCAAATGGAAAAGGCGCCGGGGACGCGAGCGAGGCGAGAGCCGCGGGGGCAGCGGAGGCCAGGAGGAGGCTGCAGTTGATGCCGTGGGGATGAAGTAGCTGCGGCCGTCGGGAATGACGCTGCATCCCATGGGAAAGGGGAGCGCAGAGGAGGCCCCACGGCCGTGGGAGCCCCTGCTCCTGAGCTCCCACCCGGCAACTTCAGGCAAAGAAAAAATCCCTGGCGACATCAAGGTTATGTAGTCCCAGGCTGACAAGATGGATTATCTCTTGCAATCCATCATTCGCTGGATCCTATCGGATTTCTCCTTTTGCTCTTTTTTCTTTTTTCTCTCTTCTTTTCTTTTTTTTCTTTTTTTTTTCTTTTCTGAGCAGAAAACATTTTGAGCAACCTGAATAACCGCAGAAAGCTGTTGTAAAGCAAGCGCGGAAATCCATCATTTTTATTTGGCCGTGTCTGATAGGACGTAAGCTCGGGCCGTAAATCCTGCGACCTTGGGAATTAAATAATAACAATAATAAAACTGCTCCCCGCACAGCTTCCCATGGTGCACAGCCTACCCCGCGCTGCTGGGGGCGAAGGGAACGGGAATTTGTGGAATCTGGGAATGGGACAGGAGCGGGACACTGGGGGTGAGTGGTCCCCAAGGCTTCTCCCTCAGGCTGTGGGAATTTGGGGGCTCCTGGAACGTGGCGATGCCCCCGTCCATGCATTTTCAAACCCCTCCGGTGCATCGCATGGATCAGCGCGTTTGCACAAGTGCAACGCGCTGGGGGGAATCCGGGGACCGCGGGGAGGACCCGGATGCAGCCCGGCCCCGGGCACCGCGTCCCGGCGCATCCGCCTCTGCCGGGAGCGCGGGTGGGTGAAAGTGGAGCTGTCCCGGGGAGGCCGCGCTGCAGCGGGGCGCAGGGAGCAGGGAGACGGTGACATCGCGCCGTGCCCCGCGCCACTGCCCCCGCTCCCCTCCAGGAACCCGCTGCGCTTCAACCGTGGCGGTTTAATTAGCTCTCAAATTAACGCGTGCTCTTATTGCCCCACGTGGGGACTGCTTTGCTCCTGACTGATGGAGAGGAACGCGTCCCCGGAGCTCCCCGGCGCCGCAGGTTCAACGGCAGCAGTTGTCACTGTGAGGGTGACAGTGACACTGCAAAGCGCGGGTGACAAGTGCCCATGGGCACCACGGCCACCCCATGCCAAGGGCAGAGCAACTTCCCGCATCTCGGCAGCAGCTGGAATCGCTTCCCGCTGCGTGTATCCACCTGCGAGGAGATGTGACAGCCCGAGGTGGCACCGGGCGCTGCGAGAATAAATAAATCAATAAATAAAAATCTTGCTCCAAGCTTAAACGACTCTTTAAAAAGCTAATGCATAATTTAACCGGAGCAATTTAGAGCAAGCTACTGCATAT